TTCTTTCAGAAATAGAATAATAAGAGTTGGAAGGGACCTTGGAGGTCTTCTAGTCCAACCCCCTACTCAAGCAGGAGACCCTAGACCATCCTGGTCCAAAGGTGGTCTAATCTATTTTTGAAAATCTCCAGGGATGGAGCGCCCACAACTTCTAGAGGCCAGCTCTTCCATCGATTACAGCTGGTCCTCAACTTACCGCAGTTCACTTCACGACTGTTAAAAGGTTTACATCGGCACTGAGAAAAAAATGTGATTTATGAACGTTTTTCACACTTACAACCATTGCAGCATATCTACGATAGTTTCAATGTCCCCCGAGGTCACATGACCCCCTTTTGCGACCTTCTGGCCGGCAAAGTCAATGGGGACAAAAGACTTTTTTCTCTTATATAGATATAACCATTATATCTTCATTTCGACCACGATGAAGATAATTCCGTTTTTGGCCTTTTCCGAGACCACCACCTGGAGCAATCCTCTTGTGGTAGGACTGAGGTAAAACACACCCACCCTGGTCTTAACAGGGCCGAAGGAACCTTCCAGAAGGAAAGCGTGGTCTGTGAGTGTACTTCTCATCTTCCTTATTGGGATAAAGAACTGGAAATGTCAGGAGGCGGATGGGGAAACGCTGAAAAAAAAAAAAAAGTGATCGGTACGACTGTGGACATTGCCAGTTGCCTCAACGGATGTGTACAAGAAAGTAGCCAGTCATTCTTTCTCTCCATTTGTTCACCCATGAGCAACGCATGTTGTTTGCGGATACCCATCTGCTGTGTTCTTGTTTCTGAACAGAAAATAATACTTTTTTAAAAATAAAAATTTGGATTTTTTTTTTATTTTATTTTTTACCAATTGTTTGGGATCTTCAAATGCAGCATCCCTTCCTTTTCCTTTCTCCGTTTTTTAGGAGGAACAAATCCACCTTGGGCAGGTGTGGCGGCCTAGAGGTGGAGCTCTCGCCTCACAGTCGGGAGGCAGTGAGTTCGATCCTAGGCAGAGGCAGATATTTCTCTCTCTGGGAATATATCTGCTGGGAAAAGACTCCACACTGGTGACAGGGAAGGGCATCCGGCCAGTAAACATTCATCTCCATTCAATTGCCCAGATTCCACCCCCCAAGGAATTATGGGGTGGTTAACAGAGGATGATGATGAAGAGGATATCCAGTTACCTTCTCAGAATAACAGAGTTGGAAAAGGCTTTCTAGTGACTCTAACCCTTCTCAAGCAGCGTTTCAGGCAAATCCCCTCTTAAAAACCTCCAGTGATCGAGCATCCACAATATGCGGAGACAAGTCATTCCGCTGATCAATTGTTCTCCCTGTTAGGAAATTTTTCCATAGTTCTAGGTTGCTTCTCTCCTTGATCAGGGTCCATCCATTGCTTCTTGTCACTATCGTTCTTGTATTGCCTCTTCTTTTTCTTGTGCCATATCAGGCTTCTAGAAATTCCCTAGTGTTCTTGGACTTGGCCTGGTCTGGTCACATACTCCCAATTGAAACTTTGGTTAAATCTATCTATAAGTTGTGAAATGAAAGACTTTTTTCTTCACGTCTTGTGACTGCCACTTGGCGGTCATGGATGCCTTCTGCCAATCTTCTGTCTAGTTCGTCCTACGCTGCGGTTGCTGCAGTTCTTACATTGTGTGTTGTAGAATAGACGAGTCACGTTTTTTTTTTTCTTCTGGGTTTTTTTTTTCTGCTGGGTCTTTTGGTTTGCTAAGGATGTTTTGGGGTTGTGAAACATCTGCAAGGAAACGAGTAAGCTTTGAGGTAGCACCAAGGACCCCTCACTTCAGCGGAGTTGCCCTGACCCAACCCACTCCAATTTATTCCACCGCTCGCTGGATCCGATCACCCGTCGTGTCAATCATTCTCAAAATCTCTTCTTGGGAGTTTCGTCTTCAGAGCGAGGCTGAAGAGAACTTGGAAGAATAGATGATAATGATCCTCTCTCTCTCTCTCTCTCTCTCTCTCTCTCTCTCTCTCTCTCTCTCAAAGAAACTCTTGCCTTTATATGCTTTTCTTCAGGAAGGGAGGGAGGGGAAAGGTTGGAAAATGAGCCGTGTCTTGTCTAAGCAAGGAATAATAAATACAAGCAGGTGTGAAAGGTTGGAATCGAAAACAGATGGATATGACGGATATGATCTGTGTCCCCTGCACAGCTTCGGTCTTTAATCCCTGTGGCTTAGTGCAAATACTTCCCTCCTGACGCAATGCAGAAATAATAAATGGAGCGACTCTCAAGGAGTGGGGTTCCCTTAATGGTAGCTGGTCGAGGGGCAGGGATTATTTGGTGAGGGGCGGGTGGTGGTGGGGGGAATCGGTCTCAGTTGACCAGCTGCTCACTTCCCCTCATCCACACGGTCATTTCCCTGTCGTACCTCTGGCTTCGGTCTCCCAAATCCTCGGGGATGCACAAGCTGAAGAAGTGAGGGAGGAAGGCTCCCGGTCACGAAATCGAGAGATGGCAGGTTTTCCCTGGTTTCTCGTTTTAATTATGGATGGGTTTTCCCTGGATGGGAAGCAACAGTAGAGTGCTATGATTAGAGCATGGAACATGGCTGAGATAAAGTCCTTTATCCAAAGGAACAGAGCAGATAACAGAGTCGCAAGGGACCTTGGAGGTCATCTAGCCCAACCCCCTGCTTAGGCAGGGGATCCTGTACCATTTCAGGCAGGTGACTGTCCCCCCCAGTGATGGAGCACCCACAACTTCTGTTCCACTGATCAATTGTTCTCCCTGTTAGGAAATTCCTCCTTAGTTCTAAGTTGGTTCCCTCCTTGATCAGTTTCCATCCGTTGCTTCTTGTCCTGCCTTCTCAGGTGCTTTGGAGAATAGCTTGACCCCTCCCTCTTCTTTGGGGCAGCCCCTCAAATGATGGAAGACATCAATCAGGTCAGCCCCGATCCTCCTTTTCGCTAGACTAGACATATCCCATTCCCGCAACCGCTCTTCGTACATTTTAGCCTCCAGGCCTCGAATCATCTTCACTGCTCTTCTCTGCATCCTCTCCAAACTCTCTTGTATAATGTGATGATCAAAGCTGGACGCGATTAAGGTAGCCATCAAAGGAACTCCCCTCAAGCCATCCCTTAGGATGAATACTTGCTGAGTAGAACGGCTGGCTTTGTGCCACACGCTGTCCAAAATCAGCTTGGTTAGTTTCTAGGAGCGTGTCCGCCAGCGCATCCAGTAATCCCCCCCCTGTGAAGTCATTTATGTTCTCAAAAGTTGACATAGAACATTTGATGAAACACGCAAGCCATGCTGCATTGTAAAAGGTGGGTTCCTGCTTACGCTCTTAGGGAAAGAAGTAGGTGCTTTGCTTAATTGTTCGAATTGTATAGCTGTTCATAAATAAGGACCCTTGAAAGCCTCATTCTCATTTGACGTACGGAGCAGAATGTGGAAGACCTCAGCCACTGTTTGAAGAGGTGCGGGGGATATAATTCCAGAGCCACTACAATCTGAGATCCAGTTTTCTCACGTTCGTAAACCGATAAGGAACGACGAAGCCAACATTTCTGATTCTTCCCTTACCCGAGTGAACGTGTTTGAAACCAATTTCTTTCAGCGATGCTCCTTCCCAGGATTAAAGTTGGATGGAAGTTTAAAAATAATAATAATAATAATTTAAAAAAACAACAACCTTGAATCGCTATGAGGTAGATAAATAGATGCAATTTAGGGGAAACCTAAGGATCTTATTTATTTTTAATCCTTTATAGTCCACTAATTCACGTCGCTTTTGAACCCTCCTTGTTTTGTATTTATTATTTTTTGATCCCCGGAGGTTCTGTTTGTTAAAAAAAAAAAAAAAAAAGCACTTTTGCATAACTTTTATTTTTCCTAAGGTTGGCAAAGTATGAAGCCCGGGTTATTCTTTAGTGCTAAATTATTTATCTTTGTTCCTTTCCTAGGCAGGATTTCTGATTCTTTTATCTGTCCCCTCAGGAGACCAGGAAAGCCTATTCCTTACCTCCTGGTTTCTCTAGTCCCCCTTTTTTTAAAAAAGACCAGGCAAAGGGCCTGTGCTGAGAAAGTCCAAATAAATGTTCAATATTGCCACAGTTGCTAAGTGAACCCGGAGTCAGGGGCCAAGCGTCTGAATTTTGATCACGGGAAAGGTTGCAAGTGTGAAAAATGGCCACAAGCGGTCACTTTTTTCCAGCGTCGTCGCAACTTTGAACTGTCATTAAGTTGAACTGTTGTAAGTCAAGGATTATCTGTATTCCTGCAATGATTTCCAAAGCAGCAACACCACAAAACCGATGCAACAGGTTGATCTCATTCCCTCACTTACCTTTGTCTCTTCTAAACTGCCCAAGGAGCTGCCGATCCAGTTCTACGGAGGAATGATGGAGTCTGTCACCTGCACCTCTATAACTGTCTGGTTTGGTTCTGCAGCCCAACAGGACAGACACAGACTCCAGAGAGGAATTAGGACTGCGGAAAATAGCAATGGCTACCAACCTGCCTCCCATGGAGGACCTGTATCCTGCACGAGTCAAAAAGAGGGCTGGGAAAATATCTACAGACCCCTCACACATCCCGGACATAAACTGTTTCAACTCCCACCCTCAAAACGACACTCTAGAGCACTGCACACCAGAACAACTAGACACAGGGACAATTTTTTTCCCGAACGCCATCCCTCTGCTAAACAAATAATTCCCTCAACACTGTCCAACTATTTACTAAGTCTGCATTACTCTTACGATTAACCTTCTCATCACTCCTTATCGCCCACCCGCTCCCACCTGTGACTGTATGACTAATTTTGTCGCTTACATCCTTACGATTTATATTGGCTGTTTCCTAGTATGATTTGATGGCTTATTGTACTCCATGACTATTATTAAGTGTTGTACCTGATGATTCTTGACTCTTGACAAATGTATCTTTTATGGACACTGAGAGCGTTTGCACCAAGACAAATTCCTTGTGTGTCCAATCACATTTGGTCAATAAAAAGAATTCTATTCTATTCTATTCTAGATCAGGAATGGCCACTGAAGGATGGAAATCTAGGGTGAATGAAAGCTCCCCGAACGTCACCTCACCTCCGCCAGGTAAGATTGGTTTTACCTCACCTTAGGTAGCTGCAGGTGTTGGGCCCAAAGTCACAAAGGACCGAATCTTCCTCGGTTAAAAAAAACTTTGTTTTTTATCAATACAAGGAAGCTCTAGGGCTGTGTTCTGCAACTCGGTTGTCTTTAAGACGGGTGGAATTCTGGGAATCGAAGTCCACACATGAGGGGCTGCCATGTGGGAAAGGCCTGAATGAAGGGTTTGTGGGGGCTCATAAGAACGGGAAGTCACAGGGTAGTCCTCGGCTTAAGACCACAACTGGGACTGGAATTCCAGTTGTAAGCCACGGTGGTCATAAGTTGAGGCACTGCATGATCAGATCTGACGTTTCAACGGTTGCTATGATTATTAAGCCAATCTCGTAGCTGTAACGGAATCTACTCAGGACACCTGATAATCTCTTGTCCCATCCCTTCTCTGGAAATGCCCTTTGAGGATTCCAGCATCCCTCAAAATGTCATCAGGAAAAGAGGACCCATATTCCACACTCATTCTCCGCCCTTCAGATTCTCAGCGGTATAGCAAATTTCATAAATGTTTCTCCCCCCCGCCTCCCTTTTCATCACAGCCATTTTTCCTGTTGATGGTGCCGATAGCCTATTAATTATCTAGTGGTGTCCCTTATAGGGGAGGGTAGAAGAAGAAGAAGAGAGAAATGGGCACTGGATGTAGAATCTGTAGGTCATTTTAAAGTCCTCCTTATCGAGAGTTTTTCTGCATGAGAATCTGCCAATCCTGAGGGTTTGGGGGCGTTTTTGTAGCCCCTGGTGTTCTGGGTTCAACAAGTCTTGTACAAACTGGAGCATGTCAAAGAAAGCCATGCACTGACATTTGCATTAAAAGAGTGCATTTGATGGGTAATCGTGTTTAAAGTAGTTTATGTTACTAAACACTGTATATCTTTGGGGCAGTTCCTGGAATGAAGATATTAAGGACAGGAGTATGTAAAAGAAAAGGGGAAAGGGGCCACATTAAGGAATCCTGTGTTATTCATGTGTTAGTGTGTAAATTTGGTTAAAAAGTGCACAATGTTGTGGAAATGCGTAGCGGAAAAGGGAAACACGAGAGTTCACAAGCTTGATACTATATGGACGAAAACAGTGACTGAATCTGGATGTTCTGCTTCGGATGCCACGAAGCCTCTTCCCAGAAGGTAACCAGGAAAAGGAAATTTAACCGCCAATATCTGCAGAGACAACAAAGTTGGGGACTGCAAAAGGATTTTAACACCGCAGCCTTGAGTGGGGAGAATGTGATGAGCAAGCGGGTGACAAGCAATGGTATGAAATATGTACGTGGCTCCTCTGACGATGCAAATTCCTGAGTGAAGCCGGACTTCTGGTTCTGAAATCCCAACTTCTAAATGTTCAAGGCAACATACAGTACATGCAAGTGTATAAAAAAACTTCCTTCCTTCCTTTCTTCCTCCCTCCCTCACTTCCTGGCTGCGTATAGATAGCTGTGACTTAACGTTTTCCTCTCCCTGTTTTCTAAATGTCAGTCTGTTTTTTGGGAACAGATGGGTGGGGAAATGAGGGAGAGGAAGGCTTACTGCAGAATGGGAGGTGAAACAGTTGATAAGAAAGACAGACAGACAGACATAGTGTGATTGGAAGGCACCGTAGCTCCACTCCGGGTCTTGTTCCAGGGGCTTTCTCCAGAGTCTTCACAACACTGTGTAGGATCATTTGAGCACGATCGCTTGCGCTTCAAATAAGAACTCTGGGTGGATTTATCTGATGATCCATGAGTTTGCTATCTCATCTCTCCACGGTCTTCTCAGTTTTCCAGTTCAAAAGTGCATCTACTGACTATGCCGCACAGCGAATCCATCTCCACCTCCAGGTGGGACTGTGGCATCAGTTCCCAAGTGGGTCTTCTGGCCCGGGTGTTTACCTTCCCAAGACACAAGGAACTGCCCACACCTCACATTCCCTGGAAACAAGAGACCTTCCTCTGAAAACCAGAGCTTCCAGGGCCAAATGTAGTTCCTCCCCACGAAAGGCTAATCTCTATCGAGCAACTTCATGTAGGCTTTTCTCTCTGTTCGATCGGGGCCTTGTGTCAGGCTGGGCCTTCATGCGCAGAACAATGGCAGGATCTTCCCAAACTTGACAGAGCGACCCCTCTTTGCAATTTCACCCTAGACAGAAGGAGGAGGAGGAGAAGAAGAAGGAGAAATAGAAAAAGAAGAAATAGAGGAACAAGAAGAAGACAATGAAGAAAAAGAAATAGGAGGAGGAGGAGGAGGAGAAGAAGAAGAAGAAGAAGAAGAAGAAGAAGAAGAAGAAGAAGAAG